TATTCTTTATTTGTGATCGTCAGATCATTTTTAATGTGATGTTTTAAAGACAATCAGTATGTTTAAATGCGCAGTTAAAGGTGCAATAGGAGATCTTGGAAAATGCTAACTTTAGCCTGATAGCACTAAAAGTGAATGTCCCACCCTCCCTGCAATCGCCGTCCAAAGCCACACCCCCCGAACGCATTTACGCTCACAGACCATAATACCAGAAACAACATTACTACAATAGGCTACAGCAGCGATTCCCAACTCCAGCCCATGTTCCGAAGTGAAGTAAACTTCAACGGATTTCCCCTGCTCAGGCAGTAGGGAGCAATGAACACTGTGTAGGGATCATATCAAACGGAACACAGTTCATGCACGTAGCTCACTTCTAACGAGCTAGTGCGAGGCCTGGATTAACCGCTGGGCCACATCTTGTGTCATTTACCTGTGAGAAAACTTTAAAGGTACTACAATACCAGGAAGGAAGATCGGCTTGTTGATGTTTAGTGATTGGAAGGATGTGGTTTACAGACACAACACATTGCAATTATTCCATCAAACAAGCATCCACCCACACACACAGATACACTGGGCCTGACAACAACAGTGTAAACATATACTGGTGTGTGGAGGCTGTAAGGTCAGGGTCAAAGGCACACACAATGCACATTCAGTGCTTCATACAAAAAGGTTTGCATATGCATGTAGCTTTAATGCATTTAATGCCTTTTCATTGCTGCTATTGCTGCTTTATCTTTATATGGCAGGAAGAACAGTGATAGTATGCCCCTTCATAATCATAGAACTTTTCCTACAGAAAAACAGAAACAAATTATAATTTTTACTTTCATATTTTAAATATTTTTAAATTGTATTTTTAAAGTTTACTTCTGAGCATTCAGCTTAATTAGATATGCAATTAAAATTATTTAAATAAATTATTGAAAAATGTATTTAAATGACATCGCCAAACATTATTGCAACATATACTCTTTCAGGGCGATACAGGACACTGTCAGGGTTTATTTTGTGATAATTAATAGCTGCTTGCACATTATCCCGCTTATTATTATCCCACCAAATAAACAAATAATTAAATTAATTAATTACAATTAAGTTTTAAATTATTTTATAATTGAACTTTTATATTATCTTGACATTTCCTCTACAAAAAAAAAAAGTCCATTACAATGTATAAAACAATCAGCCAAGAACTGCAACCATTTTACGGAAATATAAATACTTTAGTGCTCTGAGGTCATTTTCACTACAACTGATAACTGAGACGCAAAATGGTGCCAATTGCATTTATATGAACGAAGAGATCACGAGTCCAAGGTTTGAAATAAAAGATGTGTGTAGCATCAGTTTCAGTTACCTGGATAAGGATATATATACACATGTATACAAGAAATCAGGAAATCAGACTGCTGGATGGTGCAACTAACCAGTCAGAATTAAGTATTCCATACAGCTGTATAATAAACTAGATTATGCAATAGCACACACTTTGAACATATCTGAAAGGCTTATAACTTGTTTATTGCTTCTGAATATGATACTGCATTAGCGCTTTGTAGGAAAGGATGAAAATACAGGAGAAATATGGATGAACAAATAATTAGCAAATCAAGTACCATCAAGTTCGAAACTTAAAGACTGATAGTATTTTGTTCAGAGAACTTTTGTTAGTCCAACTAGGCTTTAAAAAAAAATCTGTATAAAAAAAGAAGCATTGCATAGATCAGACCATAATTATATACAACATTGGTGGCTGAAAGAAACTGACCTGTAGCATTATAAGATTAAGGATCTTATAATTAATGCCATCCAGTCTCAATACTCATAATTAGTCATTCACAATTAAGAAGCCCATTGTACATAATATTTACAAATAAAAATCAGCATGTACAAAAATTATGATGTATGCACATACATCTCAAAAACATGCACAGTGTACTCGGATGGAGGCCCATGTGATAAATTCAGAGAGAAACGGGGAAAGGGAAAGAGAGACAGTGCAACCAACACTGAAAAGAAATCTGTCCGTCACGTCAGTCAGTGACACAACTTTGTCCCTGGAAGACTTTAAGGTTGAGGGTCAAAGGTGAATGCGTCCCTGGCTGCGTCTGGAGTGAGGGAGAATCTGTAAACCAATACAACACTAAAGTCACAACAGCACACAAAGCATTCTCATTAAACTGCATTCTCAACTAAACTTTATAGCAAAACGTCAAGGCTTCTATCCAAGTACTGTCTAGTAGTGCTAGAAAACAAACACAGGTGTAGTAAAGTTTTGGAAAGTGGGGAAAAAAATCTCAGAGGAAGAAGACCACAAGTATTTCATACTTCATATATATATATATATATATATATATATATAAAATCTGATTTAATATTCATAAACTTTAGATACTGCTCAGTCAATGCTGATGTGGCTTGTTTGCACAGCTTTTATGTGGCTGCTGTACTGGACACAGTAATGAAAAGTCGCCCTCTGCTGGTCTAAATGCAACACTTAAAGGTGCAGTAGGAGATCTTGGAAAATGCTAACTTTAGCCTGATAGCACTAAAAGTGAATGTCCCACCCTCCCTGCAATCGCCGTCCAAAGCCACACCCCCCGAACGCATTTACGCTCACAGACCATAATACCAGAAACAACATTACTACAATAGGCTACAGCAGCGATTCCCAACTCCAGCCCATGTTCCGAAGTGAAGTAAACTTCAACGGATTTCCCCTGCTCAGGCAGTAGGGAGCAATGAACACTGTGTAGGGATCATATCAAACGGAACACAGTTCATGCACGTAGCTCACTTCTAACGAGCTAGTGCGAGGCCTGGATTAACCGCTGGGCCACATCTTGTGTCATTTACCTGTGAGAAAACTTTAAAGGTACTACAATACCAGGAAGGAAGATCGGGTTGTTGATGTTTGTCTGCCATTCTCGCTCTGTCAGCACAGCGTGCGTGAATGCGCTGATGACGAATCCTGTCTGCGCGAACCGGGTGCGCAGAGGTATGCTAATACATACGTTGACAGGCAGGTAGGAAAGCATATTAAAATGCCCGGACCGACCGTTTTGATTGGACGAACATTTCTTGATCCTACACTTCCACAGAATATATAAATACAGATAAATACATTTAGACCACTTAACTTAATGATTGCTATCAGGATGTGAAGAGACTTTCAACCAGCATAACAAAAAATGTTTCTGAAGACAATCACCTATTACACCTTTAAGTTTTTATGCAGACACACTTCCCCTAGTGGTTCCCATAAGAAATGCACTGCTAGACCTGCACTCCTGCTGGACTAAAGCTGGCCACACACTAGAGGATTTTAAGGCCGATTTTAAGCCCGATTTGCATCCCCGAATGATCGGGGGTGTGGCCCGATTCGTGGCTTGTCGCAACGATTTTTTGTCCAAAAAATCCTCTACGGTGTGGTGTCATTACGATTATTTATCTGCTCCCGATCGAGACGGAGCGTCCCCGAACTCTTGCTCGACTACCTCTGACGTGATACCCGCGATAGCCAATGAGAGCGAGCAAGCGTCACCTACCGGATGTTGCGTGCTTCTATAGCTGAAACTTGGCAGCCACAAACATGCCATGAAAGCAGAGAACATCATCCATATTCTTTTTTATACTTTTTTCACTGTAATAAAACACGCGCCAGGAGAGCCAGCTGACAACGTTGATTGTCCTCTATTTGTTTTTCTTCTCTAGTCACGTTTGATCTCGCGAGTGTCCGTGAGATCACGTGTCACTGTGAAATCGTTCCTACAATCAACAAGTGTGTGGTCTCGTGGTCTGGTCGAATCATCAAGTGTGTGTGTGTTCAGAGGATTATAATACGGTGGCCGAGAAGTGCAAAGCAAATCACAATTCTGAAAACAAAATAACAAATTACAAATGCAAATGCAAGTCTAAAAAACAAAATAACAATTCAGAAAGCACAACAACAATTCAGAAAACATTATAACAAGTCAGAAAACACAACAGTGCAACCAACACTGAAAAGAAATCTGTCCGTCACGTCAGTCAGTGACACAACTTTGTCCCTGGAAGACTTTAAGGTTGAGGGTCAAAGGTGAATGCGTCCCTGGCTGCGTCTGGAGTGAGGGAGAATCTGTAAACCAATACAACACTAAAGTCACAACAGCACACAAAGCATTCTCATTAAACTGCATTCTCAACTAAACTTTATAGCAAAACGTCAAGGCTTCTATCCAAGTACTGTCTAGTAGTGCTAGAAAACAAACACAGGTGTAGTAAAGTTTTGGAAAGTGGGGAAAAAAATCTCAGAGGAAGAAGACCACAAGTATTTCATACTTCATATATATATATATATATATATATATATATAAAATCT